TATATCAAAAGTTATTTAGCTTTGAAATTTTTAAAAAATAAACACTACTTATAAATTCCAAAAATCAGCCCATATGATTAACTTGTGTTGCAACAGAATTATAAAAAATTCAAATTCCACTTAATAAGTGGATCTAAAATCAAAATAGCTATTATCACGAATCAATACCTGATACGTAAAACTATTTTTATAAAAAAAATAAAAAAAAATTAGAGCTCTTATTCATTAAAATGTTCTATAATGTGAAATTTTAAAAGGACCGAGTTGCAAGAATATCAATTTTATCTCACAATGCATTTAAAAATTTACAAATTTCTTAATAGCTTATCCTTTAAGCGATATTACAAAATCTAAAATCTTATTTATATGAATAGACTGATTTCTATATCAGCTCTTTAAGATCTATTAAACACAGCTATTGGAACTGCTAAAGATCATTATTAGGACATAAAAATATTTAACTTACAGAATCAAATTTCAACTTATTTGAGACAATTTGCCAGTATGTTCTGTCAATAGAATATATGACATACTTTGCAGTTTACTAAGTTGTTTAAAAAGATGTTTGATTTTCAAAACTAAGGATGCGGTATATAATTCCAAAATTTTAATTTATTGATAGGTTTCTGAGCAATATTGCTATTTATACTTTCAAATCAGTCGTTAAAGAATAGTGAAAAATTGCACAACTTGTGCTACAAAGTTTTCCCAATTCATTTGTGACAAAACAACTCATTGATAATAAATTTCTTAATCGTGTTTGTTTTGACTTGATTTCAATAACTTGTTTTTCAGATGGGGACTTTCTTTTTTTTAATTATGTTTGTCGCATGAGCTAAAATTCTTCCGTTTAGGTTTAAACAATCCTGGATTGGTTAATATTCCATCAAATGATATAGTGATGAGAAGCATCGAAAGCACAGAACAATTAGTGTCATAGATAGGTACGTAATATCAAATGAAATTGTAAATGTGATAAAAATTACTGCAAATGTAAAAAAGCAAATTATCTTGCAGAAATATCTGTCATTCAACAATCATGCTTGTAATAATTAGTGCAGTTAGAATATGTAACTATAATAAATACATAATTAGCTTTTCGATGTATTGCTATTTAAATAAATTCAAATAATATTATGTAATCACCACCGGGATAGGTTGTTAAAGGAACACTTTGTTTACTCATTTAATAGTAACTTAGCACTATTACTAAATTATTTATATTTGAATACTTCATAATCTTCTATTTGAAATTCTAGATATTGAGTTTCGCTCTCTATAACTTTGATTGCTTTTTCGTAATTTTGCTGACAACATTTCCAAGTTTTTAAATCATTTCCAGATACAAAGAGATCTAAATATCCAAACGATGGACCGAAGTCCTTCAAACAGCAAATTGCAAAATCCTTATTTTTGACTTTAATAAGTGTAGAAGTTCGTTGTTCATCTGTTTTTAGAGAAAAAATAAAACTAGAATCAGTTTTTTTATATTTTTTTCCACCAATTACTTTCCAGGTAAGAGGATTATATCCACCAAAAATCTCTCCAGTTTTTAAAACCTTCAAAATTATTATGGTATTATCTATATTTTTACACTTGTTATAAAAAGTGCTTTTCTCAAACCCATCTCTGCTACCTTTAAAAATTAGTTTAAGCTCATGTTGTGTATCGTGTGGTGAAGGATTAATCCAAGAAATAATTTCTTCTTTATGTTCTTTGGTGATTATAGTTGAAGTTTCTTCATTGATTTGAGAAGCCTCATCATTGGTTTGAGAAGGTTCTTCATTTAATTGTGAAGTTTCTTCATTTAATTGAGATGCTTCTTCATTTGATTGAGATGTTTTTTCATTCGATTGGGAAGCTTCACCAGCAGCTTCATGTTTATGAGTTTGACTTCGAACGATATTATCCGTAGAAGTAAATCTCATTAATTTGATACTTTTAAAAGATCGGAAATTTTCTAAGCTTTTAAATGGTCGGATTTTAATGGATCGGGGTTTCTGGATTTTAGAAGATCGGATACTTTTTAAAGTTTCAAAAACTTCCATTATTTCCGGACGATTCTTAGGGTCTTGATTCCAACAACGTTTATAAAGTCTAACATAATCATCTGGTGTATTTTCAACGGGGGTTTCCCTGACTCCGCTATTAACATGAGTAATAATTGCTATTTTATTCTCATAAGAAATAAAAGGTGGTACACCACTCGAAATTTCCCAAAGAATTACTCCTAGACTGTAGATATCAGATCTCTTGTCACATTTATATTGCGGATTCCTAAAGCATTGAGGTTCTAAATATGCGTACATTCCACCAGCTTTAACCAACGTAATTTCATCTATATGTTTGGATGCTCCAAAATCTGCAATTAGCATTCGTTGATGATGAACTAAGATATTCTTTGAGTGCTATTGAGAAAATGAAGATAAATAATTTATATATGATAAATAAAAATGTAGATACGGAAGTTCTTACAAGATCTCGATGAAGAATTCCTTTATTGTGTAAAAACAATAATCCTTCGGCTATTTCTTCTGCAAATCGCAGTTTATCTGACCATTTTAATTTCAAAAAATTATTTTTTAAGTATTCACGTAAATTCCCATTCACAGCAAATTGTAAAATCAAATTATATTGATTATTATATGGATCTTTTTAAAATAAAAAATATTAGTACCAACTTATAATACTTATAATTCTCAGAAGTTTTTAATGATGTATAATTGCCTTTAGTAACTCCATAAAATTGGATGATATTTTGATGTTCATGCCCGTCAACTTTAATGTGGTTCTGAAGCTACATACTAGAAAAATGAGAAACTTCATTTGGAAAATAAAACAACATAAAAAAAAATATTACGTAGGTACCTCATTAACGAACGCATTTATATATATTTCATTTGTATCACTGTTTAAGCTTTTAAGAACAACTATCTTATCTCCCCACGTCGCTTTGCGTACGATCCCGAATGGGCCTTTACAAATTTCTTCAAAATCACTAAACAAATCATATTTTTGTTTTATCCTTTCATTAATAATCTTTTCAATTGTTTCATTCAAAGGATTTGACATAATTTTCTAAAATTGTAAAATAAAATCGAAAAATGAATTTCAAATGGAAATTAATTTAAGTATAGTTTCATAGCATTATAAAATTGTTTGCAATTATTTGTGTACAGTATTTATTACGTACGTACGTACGTCTTTTTCTTAATCACTGTTTAACTGTTGTGATTGTCATTATCGTGATACATGTCTACATTATCGTACGTACACAAGTATTTATTGTGGTAGATCATAATTAAATTTAACTTATTTTATCGTTATGTCTGATTTTAAATTTTTTTAGGCCTATTTTTTGTTAGGTTTTTTTTTTTTTTTACTGTTAAGTTAAAGTAGATTTTGGTAGAGCTTATATATTTAAATTGAGACCCTAAATTTCACTATGATCTGCAACATTTATTACAGTACATAATTTATCCATGTTCTACAGATTACGGGGTCACGAGACTACTACAAATTAATGCTGAAGTATTGGATAATAAATTATCATTAATAAATAAGATTATCATCGAAATTTAATAATGCATTCATCATAATTTGTTTTTACACATTTGCATATTATGCATCTTTATACTGAGTAGCTATCAACAGCCATCTATTCAATATATGCTTTATGAACAATACTATAAATCCTGATAACAAGTAAGCACATATATTTTATTTAAATAATTATGATTAACAAATACGTAAAAGATTTAGTATAGTCATTTAATGAATGCTAAACTTAATACGGTACATCCAATTATATTAACACTCAGCATTTTGACTCAGATATCTCTCTCTTGATTCTAGCAGTGACTTGTTCCCGATAGCTACGGCAATCTAGACCGCTTTCAGTAGCTTTTTGATACCACTCTGAAGCTTTGTGCAAGTTTCTTGTTGTTCCTTTGCCATATTCATAACATCGGGCAAGCTCATACGTTGAATTTGGTACTCCCATTTCAGCAGCTTGCTTAAGATATTTAAACCCTTCGTTCATATCCTCGTATGTTCCGTGGCCTTTTCTATAACACAATCCTAAATTATACATTGCCACTATATTACCTTTGTCAGCTGCGCTTCTGAACAATTTAAATGCTTTAGAATATTCTTGGCATCTATAATAATAATCTCCAAGCTTCCATTCTGCTGCAGTACACCCATTGTTAATTGCATTATCATACCATTTAATTGCCTCCTTTATATTCTTTTTTGTGTTCCAACCAACTTCATAACATCTTCCAACAAAATACATAGCAATAATTTCATTCCCATTTGCTGCATCAAGGAATAAACTAAAATCATCTGTGTTTTTTTCCTTTTCTTTCGTACCAATTTTCCACATATAAAATATTCCACGAAAACAAATATATCTTGGCTCATTTTTAAGATGTAGCCAAATTAAAACATCATTAGCGGATTTTCCATTTTTAGATATGTAATTTTTAATTGTCCTAGGAACGGATTCGCCTTTGTTAAGCATCTGATTAAGATTAGAATAAAGCTCATTTATGAAAATAGTCTTGGAATCTTGATCATCGAATGTAATTCTCGAAGGCTCATCGAAGATAGTGTTAATATATTTAATATATTCTTTTGTACGCTCTTCAAAATCTGATTCATCGTTATCAATGCCAACAATTGGGATATCCTGAAAAGGAGGATAAATGATAACGTTTAACATTAATGACACCATACTAATAGATGGTCGATCATTCGGATTACTCTGCCAACATTCTAAATTCGAAGAAAATTAATAAGAATTTATAATACTATAATATAAACCATAATGATGCAAATTATAGACCTACTTTCATAAATGGTAATATATCCTTGTTCTATACCTTGAATCGGTTTCTCTCTGAGACCTTCCATTATTTTTGATGGTAGGAATGCCTGATCGTAATCACTAAAAGGTGGTCTTTCACTTGATATTTCCCATAGAAGAACTCCAACGCTGTAAACGTCCGATTTCTTGTCCATTTTGCGTCTACGAGACTTTCCATCTTTATCTTCCTTTAACATAAAACATTCAGGATCGATATATGGTACCACTCCGAAAACTTGCTTTGTAGTCTTAGACTTCGTTGGATTAATATTACGTTGTGACAATCCAAAATCAGCTAATTTTAAAGATTCTTGGTGAACAAGTATATTATTAGAGTGCTTTTAAGGTATAAAATAGAGATAAAATAGATCTTCATTAGTATTTAAAGTATTATTACACTTATGCAAATGAGAGCCTAATTTTACCAGATCGCCGTGAACTATATCAGAATCATGTAACCATTTAATAGCATCTTTAAAGTACAAATTCCATTAATTTAAAAGCGAATATTACAACTCGAACCAATTAATTATCTATTTCTTTTTTTCCTTACACTTACCTACAAGTTGAGCTGCAAACTGAATTTTTAATTCCCACTCAATTTTTTTGGCATTTTTGAGTAAATATTCGCTTAAAGTACCGCTATCTGCATATTCAAGTACCAGTACATATTTGATTCTATTTTCATCCTTAAAATCTATTTTATATAATTAATATTGCTAAAATTTATGATTTATATAAGCAGATAATTGTTAAAAATATACCTTCAAATTTAGCAATGCCATAAAATTTAATAATGTTCTTGTGGTGTTTTATTGAAAGCATGTTCTTTAGCTGTGTATTGTAAATATTTTTAGTACAATTTATAAATTTCCGATTGTTCGAAAAAAATCCTGCATAATATAATATTACTTCATTCACAATTTCTTTACTAATTTCTTCTTTATTCTCGATTTCTTTTAATGCAAACACTTCATCTGTATTTTCTTTATTAATTGCCCTGTAAACACTACTATAGGCCCCACTACCAATCATTTTTAAGTTTTTAAATCCATAGTAATTGTATTCAACAATTTCTTTTTCTCTAATTTTCTTATCAATCCAAACTTCGTGTTCTTGCATGTTGAAGAAATAAATAATAATTATTAGAAAGTTATCAATAAACGTTGATATAAGCTACATTTTGTTTGTTTATCGATTTTTTTGTGAAATATTAGTTTACAGATACACAATCACATTGTCGGACTAGTGATGCGGTAGACACTTTAACATCGGGACAAGCCGAACGTAACTAAGCTACAGTAGAACTCGTAATAAAATTTCGATTTTAAATCCCAGCATGTTGTAAAATGTATATATACTGTATTGTTGCATCATGTCAATATAACTATACCATATCGGAACTTTATTATGTGCCGTAACTAGGGATGGACAAATTTTACATATCTTTACATATTCTTACACATTCTTTCATATTTTTACATAATCTTAATTTCATAATTAAATAATACAAATATGTTTATCGCTATATCAAATAGAATACTTTCAAATTTAATATTTATTTTAAAATATTCATTTCTATATTGTAAGTTATTGTTTAATATTGTTACTGCAAACGCAGATGCCTTTCAAATTTAATATTTATTTTTTAAAATATTCATTATAATACTGTAAATTACAAAAATACGAATACAATTAAATATTATTAATTTGTTCCAAAAAATAACCAGTTCTCATAACATTATAAATATTGAAATTGCAATCGTCTGTATTATATTTTATTTTCAAATTGCTATCACTATTGTCCATGCTATCAAACTCGACGTAAGATGTGATTTTTCAAGGTATTTTTCATTAGAATCAGCTGTATTTTTTGAAAAATTATTTATTATTTTTTTTTTATTTTGAATAATATGATTTATTTTTTTTTTAAGCAATATGCTGCCGAAATTGTGTGGATAGTCGACTAAATCATCAACCGATCATTGCAAAAAATGTTACATATTTTATTGTTTAATTCGTTGTTTATATAAGCGTGATATTAGTAACGACTAAGTTAATGTTGTATCCGTGGAGAGAATTGTGAACAAGAAGTCAAGTTAGACAGGATTACAGGCATAGGTTATGCGAGATAATGTTTATAAAGGATTCGGATTTATTGACACGGGTTATTAAGGAATGAATTTAGTTGGTATGCGATTCATACGGTACATTATTTATTATTTCATTTATGACTCAAGCCAAATTCCTCTTCTCTTTATGAGTACAACTGTCATATTTATACATTGCAAAATAACCATGGTCGGAAACCATGATCTGCGGTCTCGAACCAAGATTCGTGGTCTCAAACCAAGTTCTATGGTTCCAAACCAAGATTTATAGTCTCGAACCAATATCTGTGATTTTAAACCATGCACAGCCATAGTAAAGAATGCTAATACAATAAGAAAATATAACAATACACAAAAATTTGTAACACCAGCTAATAACACTACGCCGAAATGCCAAATTTGGGGTCCGTTAAAGTCAGGTTCATAATGATCTACAAATTGCATAAATTGCGTTCTTGATTTCTTATAAAGCAATTAACCCTAACTGCATCAAAAAACTAACCCTAAACGAACCTGGCTTTAACGTTCTCCCAAATTTGGTAAAGATCACCCTATGAAAAATAGTTTCAAAAATAATAAAGAAAATTACAGCTAATATACAGAATATAATATATACAGTCAGACCTCGATATAATTACTATATATGTTGAGAAACAAAATTTTGGTGATTATAAAAGATGTGACTATATAAAATTTATATGTTTTATAATAGCTAGATAAAAAAAATTAGAGTAATTATAACAAGGTTGTAACTATATTTACGGTATACCATAGATACACAAAGTGACATGCTTTGTATTTTATTGTTTTAGTGTTTTAGTATTCTAGTGTTTTGTGTTTTAGTGTTTTAATATTTTAGTGTTTTAGCATTCTAGTGTTCTAACATAATAAATCTACATAGTGCATATGTTGTGTTCTTGATATATATATAAAATAATAACTATAAATGTATCAAAAAAGTAGCTTTAACATATTTTTTGATATAGTAATAAACTTGATTAGTATTTTTTTTAGTATTTAGTGTTTGTTTTAGTGGTTGTATTTTAGTGTTTTAGTGTTTTAGTATTTTAGTGTTTTAGTTTTTTGGTATTTTAGTTTTTAGTGTTTTAGTGTTTTAGTATTTTAGTATTTAATGTTTTAGTGTTTTAGTGTTTTAGTGTTTTAATAGTTTAATATTTTAGTATTTTAGTATTTTAGTGTTTGAGTGTTTTAGTATTTGATTGTTTGAGTGTTTGTTTTATTATTTAGTGTTTTAGTGTTTTGGTATTTTAGTGTTTTAGTATTATAGTGTTTGGTGTTTTAGTGTTTTAGTATTTTAGTATTTGAGTGTTTTAGTATTTGATTGTTTAAGTGTTTGAGTGTTTTGTTTTAGTATTTAGTGTTTTAGTATTTTAGTGTTTTAGTGTTTTAATATTTTAATGCTTTAATGCTTTAGTATTTTAGTGTTTTAATACTTTAATGTTTTAATGCTTTAGTATTTTAGTGTTTTAGTATTTTAGTGTTTTAGTATTTTAGTGTTTTAATGTTTTAATATTTTAGTGTTTTAGTATTTTGGTATTTTAGTATTTTAATAGTTTATTATTTTAGTGTTTTAGTGTTTAAGTATTTTAGTGTTTGAGCATTTTAGTGTTTAAGTGTTTAAGTGTTTTAGTGTTTTAATGTTTTAGTGTTTTAGTATTTTAGTATCTTAGTGTTTTAGTGTTTTAATATTTAGTGTTTTAGTATTTTAATGTTTTAGTGTTTTAGTGTTTTAATGTTTTAGTGTTTTGGTATTTTAATTTTTAGTGTTTTACTGTTTTAGTACTTTAATAGTTTAATTTTTAGTATTTTAGTATTTTAGTATTTGTTTTAATTTTAATATTTTAGTGTTATAATATTTTAATACTTTAGTGTTTTAATAATTTAGTAGTTTAGTTTTTAGTTTTTTTAGTATTTTAGTATTTTAGTGTTTTATATTTTATAATAATATTTATTATAGTATTTGCTAAATACTTGTTAATTAGTTAAAAAATACTTGGCAAATATTTATTTGGTCTAAGATATATTGAATTGCAATTACAAGTACCTATTAAGTATTTTTAAAATATTAAATTTTGGTATTTATTAAATACTAATATTTACTAAATACAAGCTTGTATTTGGTATATCTTATGATATTTAGTGTTTTTAGTATTTTTAGTATTTTGGTATTTTTAGTATTTTTAGTATTTTAATATTTTAGTATTTTAGTATTTTAATATTTGTATTTTAGTAATATAGTATTATAGTGTTTTGATATTTGTGTTTTAGTGTTTTAAAAACACCAAAATACTAAAATGCTAAAAATACTAAAAATACTCTAAAACACTAAACTACTAAACCACTAAATTATTAAAACACTAAAATATTAAAATACTAAAACACTAAAATACTAAAATATTAAAATATTAAAACATTAAAACAAATATTAAAATACTTTTTTTTTTTTTTTTTTTTTTTTTTTTTTTATTTTATTTTAAACCGATGTCATGGTGCTAACGCTTTATTGTGTTTTTCAATGTCTTATTACAAATATTGTATAACAT